GAATCCAAGCTGGGGGGGGATGGGGAGCATGTTGTGAGCCCAAAGTGTGCCCTGAATGCCAGCATCAGGTTATGGGGTGCAGGGCTCTGCCCTGGCTGCAGAACCCCTTGGGGGGATAGACTCATGCCCTGGATTTGGGGGTTGGGGGATGCAGGGAGATGCTCTGCTCCCAGCTGGGGTTTTGCTCTTTGCAGCCCAGAACTGTGGTGTGGGGTCTCTTGGGGGAGTGTTTTGCGTGGGTTTTTAATTGATTCCCCTTCTCTGAAGGGGACCAGAAAGTGGCAGCAGCAGGGGCTGCTCTGGCCTGGAGTGATGCCAACCATTACGTCACCAGCTAGAGCCTCTTCTGCTATTGTTGCTGCGCTCCCTCCTTCTCTCCATCTCTCCGCTCTGAACTGAGCTTGTTGTTCTGCAGCTTGTTGTCAGACAAAAAAATCCCCTCAAGATCCCTCTGCCTCCCCACACAACAGCCTGGGCAGGAGAGGGGCCCCTTCCCAGCACAATGATTGCTGCTGGGACGGTGTGGAGCAGCTTGTTATTGTCACTGAGCTCTGTTCCTCTGTGTCTGGGCTCCCCATCACTTGTTTGGTGATTTTTACCCTCCTTTCCCTAGTCCTTTCACTTTATCTTTTAAAGCCTTGGCTCTCCCCTCCCCTTCCCTCCTGTGAATGTGTTGTTTCTGCTCCAGTTTCTCCTGAGCAGCCCCTTTGCTCTGCCTGCCTCCCAGTTTGGTGACTTGTTTCATAAATAGGCAGCACTTTTCCTTCCAGCTTTGTTGTTGTTGTGGAGGTTCTTTGCTCTGCAGCTCTCAGCTGTTCACCAGCCTCACAAAGGAATTGCTAACACACAGTGAAATCACTCCATCGCTCCCATGTGTCACCCAGGGCAGTTATGATTTCATTTTCCCCAGCTCATCCACATTCACATGATAAAGGGAGACTTGGAGCAATTGGGTTGTTCAGCTGGTTTGGTTCTTGTTTTTTCCCCCTACTTCCCCACTCCAAATAACCCTCTGGAAGCTGGGGTTGAACTGCCTGTTGCAAAAGCTGTCAGTGTTGGATTTGTTGTTGATTGAGTGGCAGCAGAATAACAAATGGTGCAGAGGGTGCATAATCCATCTTGGCTGCTAAAAAGGAGCCTGACCTACCCATGTCTCCAACCAGGAGGGGTTTGTGTCCCTTGGAAGGGAGGAATCCTGTGTTCTTAGCCACAAAGTGGCTGGATTTCTGCTTTCCTCTAGGTCACTGGACTTGACAGCAGATTTGCCTCTCTTCAGGCTTGTTTAAATGTCCCTTTAAAGTAAATTCAAGCAGATTCCCAAGCTTCCCTTCCTCCCACTATATCTGCTTTCAGTGAACTCTGCATATACCCCACTTCTTTCTCCTTGAAGACCTAGAGCCAAGGGAAATCCTGTCTGAGGAAATAAGAGCTCAGAATCTAGAGTGGGGAAGGATAAAATGACTTACAAAAATGGGTCTGTGTGCTCAGCTCCAGGCAGGGTCTGACACTTCCCTGGTGCAAGCCAGGTGTCCTGCACTCCATGGGTGGTGGTAGTAGTGCAGCTGCACAGGTTTGGAGAAAGAGTGGAGCTGGATGGACTGAAAGCCTTTGGTGCTTTTCTGGGTCCCATTTTAACAAAAGCAATGCTGCTGAGCAGTGATATTTGGCCTCCTTTGCTTGGGGAAGAGGCTAATAAAACCGTCCTTCTCTAGGCAGAAAGGTGCAAAGCTCTGCTGGTGCTGAGCTGGGCTTGTAGTGATTCTCTTAAAGCACAGGAGGAGGTGTGTAAAGGTGGTTTTGAGTGTAGTCAAACAGTAATTGTCACTACCTGGAGGAAGGAGAAGCCTTGGAACCACAGCAGTTCAGCTGAAGTGCATCAGGATCTAGAGGTGACTAGTGTGACCTCCAGCAGAATGTGCCCACCCATTCCCAGTTTTTAGGGGCCAGTTGGTAGCAACCTGTAGAAGGACACTGAGCTTCTGCCACTCTGGGGGTGACCTCCTGATCTGAGATGCCCTTGGATAAAAGCATGAGCTGCTGAGGGCCTGGCTCATTGTCTCTGTGCACAGTGCCTCCTTTGTGGAGATGCTGGAGAAATGGCCTCTGTGGAAGCAGTGGAAGAAAATGGCCTGTGCTGTGTTATTTGAGCTAATCTTGCCTGATTTACAGAGCTCCTCAGGATCTGTGCAAACTGAGGGTGCTGAGTGGGGAAAGAGCTCCAGGAAACAACAGATCCCCATGAAGAACTGGTGGTGCTTTGCACTCCAGAGTATTTTGGGGCTGAAATTCAAACTTATAGAACTGCCTACTGTTCCTCCTTTCCATGGGGAGAGGCTGTCTTCATCCTGTGCCCTCTTGGCTCCTGCGATTCCTGGGGGGACGCAGAGACCTGGCAGAAGCAATGTGGCATGTGTATTTCTTTTTCGTAGAATCCCAGAATGGTTTGATTTGGAAGGACCTTAAAGGCCACCCCATCCCATCCCCTGCCATGGGCAGGGACACCTTCCACTAGCCCAGGCTGCTCCAAGCCCCATCCAACCTGGCCTGGAACACTCCCAGGGACGGAGCAGCCACAGCTGCTCTGGGCAACCTGTGCCAGTGCCTCAGCACCCTCACAGGGAAGGATTTCTTCCGAATATTCCATCTATCCCTGCCCTCTGGCAGTGGGAAGCCATTCCCCCTTGTCCTGTCCCTCCAGGCCCTTGTCCAAAGTCCTTTTCCATCTTTCTTGTCAGCTCTCTTCAGGTACAATTTCCATCTGAAGGTGTAATGCCCTTAGCTTGGGAACATCTCCTCCTTTCTACTTCAGCTTGCACCAGAATGAGTCCTTTCCTGGAAATCTGGAGTTCACATTACATCAGGTTGTAATTCCTCAGATCCACTCTCAGTCTTGCCTCAATGGCTCAGATATCCAACATAGGATGCTCCTTTGCCTTGCCTTTGGAATAGCTCCTCTGTGCCAGCTAGACATCTGCTTGAGCAATACCACCTTTCCTGAGAGTCTGCCACTTCCTGCATTTTCCCAGGCCTTTGTCGGGAGTATGGCAATGAAAATACATGGAGAGAGCTGTGGGGGCTCAGCCTGGAGAAAAGGAGGCCCAGGGGGGACCTTCTTGTTCTCTCCATCTCCATGACAGGAGGTGCAGCCAGGTGGGGTCAGGCACTGCTCCCAAGGAACAAGGGACAGGATGAGAGGAAATGGCCTCAGGCTGTGCCAGGGAGGTTTAGATTGGATATTAGGAAGAATTATTTCATGAAAAAGGCTTGTCAGGCACTGGAACAGGCTGCCCTGGGCAGTGGGGGAGTCACCATCCCTGGAGGTGGTCGAGGAAGGACTAGACAAGGTGGTGATGGTCACAGGTTGGACTCGATGATCTCGGAGATCTTTTCCAACCTAATTGATTCTGTGAAACACCCTCCTTCCTGACCCTTTCCAAGACCTTCTTGAGCACTTGGTACCCTTGGGAGTCAGTGGCTGTGTGCAGTGATGAGTAAGGACTGCTGGAGTGGTGAAGCTGACAGGCTGCTGTGCCAGACCAGTGTGGCCAGAGCCCTTCACCTGTCTGGGTGTCTCTAAGTGCTCCATCTGATGAGATGACATCAGCCTCTCTCATCCCTTGCTGCTCTAATTGCACTGGAGCAGACATGCATGGAAAGAGCATCCAGCCTGGGAGATGTTTGTCCTTGCTGTCCTGTATCTTCCTGCCTTCTCAAATGGAAAACTGGAAAAGTTTCCATTCTTCCTTGCATTCTTTCGCCTTCCTTGTCTAGCAGACACCCTCTGCCTTGGAGGGACAGCTGTTAAGGGATCACTGAGCTCCAATCCATCCCACAGCTGATGATTCCCATGATTCATCCCAGATGAGCATGTGGCCATGCTGACAACCAGCTATCCTAGGAAATTAGGGAACATGCAAGTTGTTCTCCCTGTGTTCATGATGGCATAGAGTGATGTCAGTGTTAGTGGGGATGGTGAGAGATCTTCCTCATGGATAGTTCCAGCTTTTCCTCTGAGAGGTGGTTGAGGGCTTGGACACTTGTTTTGGGGTGTAGTCCCAAAACTCTGTGCTGTGATTCTGGCTGCTGTGAGACTGTGGTGAGAGAAGGGATCTGTCTGTGGATGCTTTTGCAGCTGAGTGAGGGCTGTGTTAGGGCAGGACATGGTTGTATCTTGTATCTGCAGAGCCCAGACTCATGGCTTCTTCATGGAGCAAAAAGAGACTTTGATTCCACTGGACGAGGACGAGTTCCTGGATCTTTTGGATCTGTTGTGAATGGCTGTACCAAACCCAAGCCAAGGTGGTGCAGTGTTAGGGCTAAGGTCCTGGTCTGTGCAGGTACTGAAAGTTGTCCTTGGAGCCATCTGTGGGCTCTGGCACTGTCACTTCTCTTAGCAGCTGTGACACCTTCACTGCACCTTCTCAGGATGAGTGTGTGTCTTACATACCCTTAGCAAGTTCACTCTCTGGGCTGTGATGTGAGCAAGAGAATCGCTTTTATGTAATAGATCCACTCATCACAAATCCAAACCCCTCCAGCATCACAGGAGGCTTTGAGGTCTGCAATCCTTCTTGGCCTCACCTCCAAATTTGTGGCTCAGTGAAGTGTTCAAAGGATCTGTGGCTCTGGAAAGGCAACTGAGTATTGCCCAACTGCTGCAAAAGTCTTGTTTGGGAGTAAATATTCTCTGTCCTGCTGCTCTGGGCTGGCCGAGACCTCTGTTCCTTATTTCCATGCCTGACTCCTGGGGCTGGTGTCAGCTTGGAGCCAAAGGAACTGTTCAGTTTGCAAGGGTTGCTGCTCCCACAACTGTTTGAGGGCAGGGGGCTGTATTTTCCATTTTTCTGGAGAACAGGACTGCTCCTGAGCATTCTGTGCTGGATTCCTCACAGCAGAACCCCCTACATCAGCTGTCCTTGGGCTCTGAAATCAGCAGAGTGCTGTGCAGAGAGGCTTGAAGCTTGTCTCAGTGATAAGAACCCAGAGACACACTGTGAACACTGCTGGTGTCACCTACTGACCTAGTCCCTGGGAAGGCAAAGCGACCTTCAGAAAAGTTACCACCTTCAAAACTAAAACCTCCAAAACCAGTGATGCCTGTCCTCTTCCTGAGGTTATAGGAATAACTAGCTGGGGGCTAATAAAAGGCTGGAGCTCTGTCTCCCTCTGCTTTTCATGGCATCAGGCCAAGCCTGAGTCTCAAGTTGCTGTTGCACTCTTCACCCTGACTCAGCTTTGTGTACCTCAATCCCTGAGGCCATAGGGGAGGGTCTTGGAAAAGTATCCTGCATAAACCAGCACCTTCCTGTTACCTAGAGGCACTTCCCTGCTCAGCTGACGGGCTGTTCTCACCCAGGAGCAGCTGGAATATGAACCCGGGGCTCTGCAGTGCTGTTGGGAGGCTGAGGGTACACACTGCTCCTCTGGGAATCA